AGCATTGCACTCCAGCCTGGGTGACAGAGCGAGACTCTGTCTCAAAAAAAAAAATAAAAAAAGTTTCAAGGTCTCTTGAGGGAAGAGGAAAGAGAGGGCATGTGTGGAGGGAGGTTGGTGGGTGGAGGAGAGCTCTTGGGTCCTGTTTACTTAGACTCAAAGGCAGGCCCCAGAGGCTCCAGCCAGAGGGACAGCACCCAGCCCCACCCTCACCCCTTTTGCAGGGTGCCTCTGACAGCTGCTGCAGGAAACATGGCCAAGTTTGCCCTGAATCAGAACCTGCCTGGTGAGTGTGCAAAAAGAGATATGTGTGTGCGCGCATGCACAGAGAAACGCTTGATGCCTGTGTGTGTGGACACAGCCCTCCAGTGGCCAGAGGGTCCTCTCCAATGTCATGAGCCTGCTTTAAACCACCTATGGTATCAACCACGGCCGGGTGCGGTGGCTCATGCCTGTAATCCCAGCACTTTGGGAGGCCTTGGTGGGGGGATCACTTGAGATCAGGAGTTCGAGACCAGCCTGGGCAACATGGTAAAACCCTGTCTGTACTAAAAATACAAAAATTAGCCAGGCATGGTGGCGCGTGCCTGTAGTCCCAGCTACTCGGGAGGCTGAGGCAGGAGAATTCCTTGAACCTGAGAGGCAGAGGTTGCAGTGAGCCGAGATGGCACTACAGCACTCCAGTCTAGGCAACAGAGCGAGACTCCGTCTCAAACAAAGAAAAAATCAAAACAAAAAAACTCCCACCTATGGCACTAATCACAAGTGGACTACAACCCCCCTCCCCAGGTAGCCCTCAAACCAGGAAAGTGTGGCCCCTGTGCCTCCATTCCTCTTCCCCCTGCCTTCCTTTCCTCTGCTCGGGACGCCCTGGTCTCCAGCTGGCTGTGACTCCAGCTGACCCTCCTCCCTCCTACCCCAGGGTATTTCCATGGGCTGTTTTCTTCTAGAAACCTTTTCCCAGCTGCTTCCTCCTCATCCTGCAGGGCTTCCCCCAGGCCAACCTTTTTTTTTTTTTTTTTTTTTGAGACAGGGTCTCACTCTGTCACCCAGTTTGGAGTGCAGTGGTGCCATCTCGGCTCACTGCAACCTCTGCCTCCCCGGCTCAAGTGATCCTCCCACCTCAGCCTCCTGAGTAGCTGAGACTACAGACGCTCACCATTATGCACAGCTATTTCTTTTTCTTTTTTTTTTTTTTTTGGAGATGAGGTCTCACTTTGTTGCCCAGGTTTGTCTGGAACTCCTAAGCTCTAGCGATCCACCCGCCTCGGCCTCCCAAAATGTTGAGATTACAGGCGTGAGCCACCACGTCGGGCCAGGGCTCCTTTTTTTTTTTTTTTTTTATTTTGAGAGGGTCTCCTCTGTCGCCCAGGCTGGAGTGCAGTGGTGCGATCTCCGCTCACCGCAAACTCCGCCTACCAGAATCAAGTGATACTCCTGCCTCAGCTTCCGGAGTAGCTGGGATTATAGGCGCGCGCCACTACTGCCCAGCTAATTTTCTTATTTTTAGCCCAGACTGGGTTTCGCCATGTTGGCCAGGCTGGTCTGGAACCCCTGACCTCAGGTGATCCGCCTGTGTCGGCCTCCCAAAATGCTGCGACTACAGGTGCGAACCACCACGCCGGGCCATGGCTCCCCTCCACAGCAAAGTCCCCTACACAGGAAAGCTTCCCTGGCAACCAGAGGCTAAGTAGCGCCTCCTCCGTTTATTCCATTATTATTATCATTGTCTTAGGTATCGTTTAGAAGGATGCTTATCTGCTTTCTACAGGAGGACAGGGATGTTTGTCTAGCTCACTGCTGTGTCCCCAGGGCCTAGAAACGTGCTTAGCACACAGTAGGCGCTCATTAAACGTGCGATTGAGTGAAAACTTGGGTACAGATAAGTGTGAAGCGTGGGCATGGGTGGGGGACACGCTCGGTTTGTTTAGTATCTCCCGAGTCTCCTTGTTCTGATGCCCCCTCCCCGTGCCCCCGTCGTGCCTCCAGACCTG